GATGCCTTACACCTGATCCCTTCGACACCTCGTGGTTGCATAGGCTGGTGTGCTTCTTCCATGTGGGCTTTGTTGCTTCTGAGCTAGATGGCCTCTCAGGGATCTTTTATGCGGCCCGGGGGCTGTGACAGCGTGTGCCCTGTCCTTGTGATGCGGTGTCACTGTGTGCCCGTAGACTAGAGATGGGGGCCCTGCGGAGCAGGACACCGTGTCCTGGGTAGAACTTTCCCAGGCAACTCCTACTCTGCCCTCCAGTTCCCACTGAGACGCCCCCTCCTTCCGAGGCAGGCCCATGCCAGGGCAGCACTGCCCACGGCTCTTTCTGGGCACGGGGGGCCAATCCGTGTGTGCTGAGCCCTGTGCCTGCTTCCTCAGGGACTATCAAGGGCAGTCAGCTGGGTGGGGGCTCAAAGGGAGGGAGCGTCTGGTGATCCCGTGTGGGTACTATGGGGAGCAGATAGGGCACTGAGACAGAGGGCAGAGCTGGCTGGCCCATTCTGGGTACCTGGACTCAGACCCAAGTGGGTGGGGGGCAGTCAGATTGTGCTTTGGGGCCCCTCTGCTAGATCCCGGAGGTGGAGGTGGGCAGGAACCCCTAACCAGGTCACCCCTCTTCCTGACTGGCTATCAGGTTCAGACCCGTCTTGCACACCTTTTAGGGCCGGTGTGGCCCGCTGTGGGCGCTGGACTCTGGGGAGGGTGGCCCTGCTGCCCACCCATGGTCCCTGCTCAGTAAGCTCAGCTTCCTGACGGTAGGGTGGGAGTGGGCAGGGCAGAAATAGTGCCCGACTGGCCCACAGGACCACCGGCGGGGACCTGGGCCTGCAGGAGGTGTATATGAACACGTGTGTGAGCTGAGGGGGTGTGAGTGTGTGAGCGCTGAGGGGGGTGCATCTGCCATGTCTGTCTAACTGCCACCACCCACCCCCACTCTGTTGACAAGGGTGAGTTCAGGCTCTTTGTGCCTCGGTTTCCATGACAAGGCCAGGAAGGGGCGGGGAGGGCCTGGGTAAGGGAGGGCTGGCTGGGGTGGGTGGCAGGATGAGAGGTGACCCAGAGCACTGAGTGGTCAGGGACCCCACTCCCGCAGTCCCCAGGTGGGCATTGTGAACCTGACCTCTGCTTGGTGGGTGGGCATCTTGGCTAGTGCATCCTGGAAGCACATGAGGCACGCGGAGACCCCTGGGAGCAGAGACCAGGGCTCCCCTCTGGAGCTGACACAGCGGGGCCACCCACCCCCACGGCCCGAGCCGAGCAGCCGTCTGTCCAGCATGCTGGCCCCATTACTCTCGTTCCCTGGGGGTTTGCAGGTAGCTGCTACTGAGGGCTTTTCCCCTGTGAACCAGCCCCCTCCCTAGAAAGCGGCCACCTGGCTGTTTCTCCCCAGGGAGCAGGGGCCCCGCCTGGGGTTCAGTGGGCCCTGGTTGGCTCCATGGTCACTTTTGGGCTCTCCAGCTAGGAGGGGCCAAATAGCCCTTGAGGTACAGCTCCTGGAGGTGGGGAGGTGGCTGGCCTCTGTCCCCCCATTCCAAGAGGCACCTGTCACCGGGTTCCCCTGCTGGGCAGGCCCGGAAGTAGTGTTCTTCCAAGCTCCTGTTCAGAAGCTGCTCAGGCATCCCTGCCCTCGACAGTGACCCTTGGAGCCTGGTCTCAGGTGGGTCCCTGGCACTCTCCTTGGGGCTCTGGCTGTTGGGTCAGGGGCTGGCCCCCTGCTGTGTGCCATGCCCACCCAGCAGACATAGGGTCAGGGCACAGATCTCAGGTGGTCATGCCCAGTACCTGCAGGGCAAAGACAGCAGAGCCCAGGAGGGGACCATGGCCTCGGGCTGACTGGTGGGCAGTTGAAGAGGCACTCGGCGCTCTCTGTTCAAGCGGAGGGCCAGGAGTGAGCTGTGTGGGGGCTGTGGGCAGCTGTTCCGCTGGTGATGGTGCACACACAGACTCTCTGTGCCTGCTTCTGTTCTCAGGCTGTGCGGTCAGTGGGCTCCCACCGATGAGGCTGCAGTTAGATGAAGTGGCGGGCCCTGTGTCACTGTTCCTGGCTTTCACCCTTTGGGTGCGGCACTTGGTGAAGAGGAGACAGTGGAGTTTACGGGTGACAACCTGCAAGAGAGGTGGCAGGTGCACAGACCCTCCCTGAGCAGCAGGGCGGCTGGTTCTGTGCCCGCTGTGGCGGTGGTGCCGTGGGCAGGGAGGGGCCAGCTTGGAGCTCGCCGGGTGTGCTTGTGGGTCTGTTTTGTGTGTTTCCAAAGCTCCTGCACCCCTCCTGCTGCCCATCCTGAGGGCCCAGAGGCCACCACCCCCCTCCCCCCGTGGGGCTGTAGTGCCACCTGCCGACCACAGGGGGGTTCCCTGGGCTTGGAGGGAGCCTGTGCGTTAGCAGTGGCACAGGGGTTAAAAGTCCGTGCTTCGAACCCACCAGCTGCTCGGCAGAAGAAAGAGCAGGCTTCCCTAACCCTTGACAGCCCAGGAAACCCTCTGGGGAGGTTCTTCCCGTCCTGCGGGGTCACTGTGGGCTTGCTTTTACCAGGCGGTGGGAGAGGGATGCAGGGGCACAGGTGTGTGTGCCATAGCTCACCTGGTCGGCTTGGCCAGCTAGCTGGGACATGCCATCTCACCTCGGGAGAGATCCTAAGGTTTTTGGCTCGATGCATACCCAAGTCCTCTCACTCCTGCTCCTTGGGCAGGGTCCCAGGTCTCCGTGGGGTTGACTGTGCCACTGCACACTGCGTCAGCTCTGGAGTTCCCCTGGCCAGCATATCTGGGGGCAGGGAGCTGTCCCTCCTCCCCAGGCAGCTGGTGGGCTCCCATCCCCTGCCTTTGGTGAGCAGTGAACGACTGCAGACCAGGGCATGTGCAGGGGACCTTGGTGTAGAGAAGCCACGAGGGCTTTCCTGACGCCTGGGCCATGCTCACACGGAACAGGGACCAAGTTCAGGAAGTTAAAAATGGCGTCACAACAGCAGGAGGCATCACGCCGGCCAGACCCTCCCTGTCCACTGCTTGGAGAGCCAGACAGGCAGCTCCCAGTAGTCCACGCCACCGCGGGCGGCCCCGGGCTTGGATCAGTGACTTGTGCATGTGCTGGATGCAGCCCTCCCTGCGGGCAGCGTGGTTTACCACTGCCCAGACAGGACGCCACCGGGTGTCCGTCATTGGCTGGCCAGCACTGAGGTTCCCTCCTGGAACCAGCCACTTCTCTGCTGGTTCCACCACTCAGCACTCCCAGGCCGCACCCCCAGGGTGGGCTATTGACGGACTGCAGTAGCCTCTGCGTGCTCGGACACTCGGACAGATGACCTCCTCTCCGGCCAGCCCACAGGCACACCCTCACATCAAGCCACAGGGCAAGCAGCACGGCCCAGAGGGTTTCCAACCAGCCCCTGCCACCTTAGACTCTCTGAGGGCGAGGGGCTTCAGCGTGCCGCCCACCACGCAGGCCTCCAGGACTGCAAACCCACTGCCCCAGTCCGTGCTGACCGCGGGCCTGGAGGACGGCTAGACCTCTCCTCGGTTTCCTCTGTGGCCCTCTGGTGGCCAGTGAGCCTGCCCCTCTCTGTGACAGCGCTGTGTCCTGCCCGGCTTGTCTGCCTGGGCGCACAGTCCTATGTGTCCTTGCTGGAGAATGGCCGTCAGGGTGGCTTGCGCAGAAAAGAGAGGGTGCCGTGAACAGTTATCCTGTGGGGCCACACTGCATTACCCGCCAGGCTGACCTGTCTGTGGTTCGACAGTTTGCTCCCAGGAGGGAGGCGAGGCAGGCTGCCCCCTCAGAGTCACAGCCTTGGGAGCCCTGTCTACATTCCAGGGGTGGGGCTGGGGGACCCGTGTCCCCCTGGGTGGCTACAGTGTCCTGCCACGGCCTGCAGGACAGCAGCGCCCTCTGGTGGGGCTGCGGGGCGGAGTCTGAGCAGGCGACAGACCCTGCCCGTCCCGTTGTCCCCCCAGATGCTGGACGAGAACCACCAGCTGATCCAGTGCATCCTGGACTACCAGAGCAAGGGCAAGACGGCCGAGTGCGCCCAGTGAGTGCCCTCTCCCCCCACCTCCGTCCTCACCAGGGGCCGTGACCGTGCCTCATGTTGTCCCTCATGCTCCCCACCTCCCACGCCCCCAGGTACCAGCAGATCCTGCACCGGAACCTGGTATACCTGGCCACGATCGCCGACTCCAACCAGAACATGCAGTCGCTGCTGCCGGCTGTGAGTAGGCCACGCCCCCAGGGGACGGCAGTCAGAACAGGAGGCCACGCCCCCAGGGGACGGGCGTCAGAACACAACAGGAGGATGGAGACGGGCCTTCAGGAGGAGGGCGGCTTGCCAGCCTTCCCTTCAGCAGGTGGCCTCTCGAGGAGTGGCTGTGGGGTGGCCAGCAGGTGGCCTTCCAGGGACCCACAGAAGGGCCATTCTCAGAGGGCGAGCAGACACAGGCCACGTGGCCTGGAGCTGCCACCACGGGCTCTTCATGCCACTGGACGTCGAGTGGCAGGCTGGCCTTGGACCCATAGAAAGCAGTGTGGCACTCCCCCTCAGAGTTAAACGTGGAGCTGCCCTGTGGCCCAGCAGCCCCTCTGGAAAGTGGGCACTTGGCATGCAGGGCACCATGCCCACAGGGCCTCACTGGAGCCGTCTGTGCAAAGGCCCGCCGGGGGGCGGGGGCGGCTGGCCCGAGCCTTCCTTGGTGCTGGTTGAAAAGTCCCTTCCAGGGGCTGACTCCGCTCCTCTGGTGACCGAGTTAGTGGTCAGTGTTTGTCAGTCCTTGGGTCCTTGGTCAAACTAGTCACTGCCTGTCACCCACAGCCACCCACCCAGAACATGAACCTGGGCCCAGGAGCGCTGTCCCAGAGTGGCCCCGGGCAGGGCCTGCACCCCCAGAGTGGCCTTGGCGACACCATCGGCACCGGCCTGCCTCCCACTTCCCTCATGCAAGGCCAGATCGGCAATGGTGAGTGTGCGTGTGTGTGTGTGTGTGTGTGTGTGTGTGGTGGTGGGGGGAGCAGGCATGGTCCCAGTCCCTGACACCAGCTTGGGGTGGGCTGGTTCAGATGGGGTGTGCATACGAGGGAAGAAAGATCCAAGCCCCTCCCCCGCTTGTGCCTGAGTGATGTCCAGTGAAAGGGCTAAGAGCGACTGACCACTGCATGGCCACCTTGTGCCTCTTGGCCCCTTCCATGCTCATGGGCTGCTTGCTGACCCACCCTCTGCTGCCCGTGGGCCAGACTCCCTGCATAGCTGCCACCTGCTGTCTCACCACCCCTCCTGCAGGCCCAAACCACGTATCCCTGCAGCCGACAGCGCAGAACACGCTGCCCACCACCTCCATGAGTATGTCGGGCAGCAGCCACAGCTCGGGGCCCGGCTACAGCCACGCGGGGCCCGCCTCACAGAGCGTGCCCCTGCAGGGCCAGGGTGCCATCGGCAACTACGTGTCCCGGACCAACATCAACATGCAGTCCAACCCAGGTACTGCCCAGGGCTCAGAACCACGCTGGCATGCCGAGGGGGGGGGGAGGTGTAGGTGCTGGGTGGCTGGGTAGGCTCCAGCCCTGGCCAGGGAGCTGGGTGGCCAGGCACAGAGGGGAGCCTTGTGAGCCATCCACAAGGACTAGGGGCTGAACCTTCCGTGGGGAGAAAGCAGGCGGCCAGTGCAGTGGCCACCTGGCCAGCCCAAGCAGGTCGCTGTGAATTTTGAGGAGCCCGGGTGTGGGCAGTCCGAGCAGAGAGGGCCCGGGGCACCTTGTGCGAGTGGCGGCTCGGACGCACGCACAGTGGAAGCCCCTCACGTCACCCGCTCTGCGCTCAGCGTGAGGGAACTCACCTGCGGCTCATGTCTGCGGTCCCCGCCCTGCTGCCAGGGCCCTGCAGAGCAGGTACCTCCACCTTTCCTTGGACAACCGGCCACAGATCACATCTCTAATTACCAGGAGGAGACCAGGAGCTTTTGTTCTGAGAACGGGGTGGCAGGCCTAATAAGTTCGGGAATCTCTGCTCTGGATGATTCTGCTCAGAGGCAGGGGGTTGGACAGGTCCATCAGTGAGGGTCTTGGGGACGGTCAGGGCTACAGGAAGGTGTGAGAGTGGTGGGTCAAGAGAATTGAGATGTGAGGGTCAGGTCACCAGGAGGTCATGGGCACAGGAGGGCAGCAGGAGGGCAGTGGGAAGCACAGCAGTCGTGTCTGTGAACAGCCCCTTGCTCTGTGGGCTGGGGTCCCTCTGCGCCCAGCAGTGCTCCGCTGAATATCATGTGAGCATGGCTTGGGGCAGGCCCGTGGTGAACGTGCCCAGCTCCTGCGGCCACTCGGGTCTTTGGTGTCCACAGTGTCCATGATGCACCAGCAGGCCGCCACATCCCACTACAGCTCGGCGCAGGGCGGGAGCCAGCACTACCAGGGCCAGTCATCCATCGCCATGATGGGCCAGGGCGGCCAGGGCAGCGGGCTGATGGGGCAGCGGCCCATGGCACCCTACCGAGCCTCCCAGCAAGGTGACACCCACCACACGGGCGCCCCCATGTGCCCTCGTTGGGGGGTGGGCGCGGGGCTCAGTGGGCTTGTGTCCAGGGTGGTCCTGCCTGGGTAACGTGTGTCTGGCCCACAGGCTCATCCCAGCAGTACATGGGCCAGGAGGAGTACTACAGCGAGCAGTACAGCCACGGGCAAGGCGCCACGGAGCCCATGAGCCAGCAGTACTACCCAGACGGTGAGTGTGGGCTGCGGGGAGTCTGTACCTTTCCTCGTCCGTCCATGAAACCCACAGCCCCTGGCGCTCCCGGGCAGCACACCTCCTTCTCCAGCCTTACCGGGACAGGAGAGAGTCACCAGCGGCATCAGCCCCAGTTGGGGTGGGGGTGGGGGGGTGCGGTCAGCAGACAGGCCTCCTCCCTCCAGCCTGCCAACCAGCTCTGACCAGCCATCCCCAGGCACTCACTGGTCTGTAGTGCTCCCAGCCACAGTTCCCTGGGGAAGTGACAGATGAGGATCAGCTGGGGGTGCAGAGCCCACAACCAGGTCTCCCTCCGGCCCTTGGCCCCTCGAGCTGGCCCTAAACAAAGCTCTGTAGCCCCACCAACCGGTCCTGAAGGCACCCCATTCTGTCACTTAGCCCCTGCCAATGGTGCGCTGGCCCTGTGGGTTGGCACGCCCGCTGTGCTGTCTGCTGGCCTCCGGTCTGTCACTGCTTCACACCGTCTTGTGCGGCTCCGAGTCTCGGCTCTCTCCCCAACCCCTGGGCTTAAGAGGCTCTCAGCACGGGACCCTGTCCCAAGGGCGTCCTCTGCCGCAGGCTCTTCTTGGTGATTGATTGTGAGGTCTCCTCTTCCCGCTCTGGGTGACAGAACTGACCAATCCCCTTATCAGGCTTTCATGCCCCTCTTTGGCATTGCTGGCAAGCTAGCTGATCCCCTTGGGGGTGGGGCACAAGTGCCTTATTTGCATGGCCCCACCCATTTGGTGGGCTTTACAAGAACAGGCTGCTAACCACACAGTTAGCTGTTTGAAACCACCAGCCTCCCTGGGGGTGAAAGAGGAGGCCATCTGCTCCCAGTGCAGTTACCGTCTCAGAAGCCCACGGGGCGGTCCCACCCCGTCCCACCGGGCAGTGAGAGTGGGAATCGTCCAGGTGAGGGATTCCAAGGGCGGGCCTGGCTCGGACGTGCACCTGCCTGTCTGAGCACACTTGAGGGTGGGCATGTGAGCTGCGCTGAGAGCCGGCAGAGGCTTCTGGAACACACTGCTGCCACCTGAGACCCTTGCCTCCTTTCCCTATGCAGCTGCAGGAGTGGGTGAGAACGGCAGCCATGCCTGGTCACGGCCCTCCCAAACCTCCCTGTTGACGCTCTCTCCACATCCCCCAGAAGCCGTCTCTTCCTGGGGTGCTGGGAGGGGGGGCTTCGTGGGGGAGGTGTTCACACCCACCAGCACCTATCTCCATGGAGTTTCCCTCCCCGACTGTCGAGGGTTGCTATGGGTTGTTACCGAGACCATGGCAGTGGACACCACTGTGGGCTCCCAGCAGGGAGACCCAGCCTCACCGCAGATGAGCAGGGCCCTGCTTGCCCTGCTCCACAGCCACCCAGGCAGACTTGGCTGGGTGGTGGTGCTGGTTGTGGGCACAGGGCGGCTGTCTCTACTGGGCATTCACTCCATTTTCACACTGGACAGAGGATGGCCCTGTCAGAGCAGGAACTGAAGCGTGGCCCAGCGAGGCACTTCCTGGGGGCAAGCTCAGACCCAGGGAAGTGGCCTTGGCCTCGCAGGGTCTCACCCTGACTGCCGGGACCTGCTGTGTCCACTGACGGCTGCCTCTGTTTGCCCAGGCCACGGCGAGTATGCCTACCAGCAGTCGTCCTACACGGACCAGAGCTACGACCGCTCCTTCGAGGAGCCCACACAGCACTACTACGAGGGCGGTAAGCTCCCAGAGGCCTGTGGGGTGGGGCCCTCCCCTCATCCCAGCGGAGAGTCCACAAAGAGCGGTTGACATGGGAGCTGGGAAGCTGGGCTCACCTCGGAGAGCATGTGGCACCGGCTCTGCCAGTACCATGGCCTGGCACACATGACCAAGCTTTCACCAGGCATGTTGGGTGGGGGCTCTGCCCATAGTCTGTCACTGGCCGTAGCTCCAGCCGCCTGACTGAATCCTGGCTCTTCACTGACTGGCTGTGTGCCTCGATGTCCTCATCGGGCAAAGGGGACCCGTGGGCACTTATCCAGCCCTGTCGAGTGTGTCTGGGAGGCGCGTGTGCACACTGCCCAGAGTGAGGGCCTAGCCCGTGAGAGGGCCTTTCCCAGCGGACCCTCGGGCTGGTCCATAAACGTGTAAGAGTGAACACAGCCACTGGTGTCTGCCGGGTTTGTGCCCACCCCTGGACCCCTGCGCCCCCTGTGCACGCCCCGCCCCCCACACACACACACACACTCTTCTCCCTCCCGCGACCACACTGAGCGGCTGCGCGCAGGCTTGTCCCTCACGTCCCTGCTCTGGGCTCGCTCAGTGTTGCTGCCGCCACACCACCGCCTCCCACAGACGTGTCACTCCAGCAGCAAGGCAGCGAGTCCGGAACTAAGGGGCCGCTGGGCTGCTTCCTTGGGAGGCTGAGGGAGACCGTCCCATGCCCCTCTCCGCTCTGGTTTCTGCAGGAGATCCGCAGCACCCCCAGGGGACGAGGCAGGCATGGCAGTGCCAAGGGGCACTGCTCTCTGCCCCTTGTGAATGACTCTGCCACCCACACTGGCCTCTGAGAGCCGACGGGAGGTGGTGAGGTGCTTCCCAGGTGCATGGTCAGTTTGGTGAGCCTGGCTGCCCGTGGTTTGGGGGCACTTGGCTCTGTTCTCTGCCCCCTTATCTGGTACATCACATGACACACAGTGCTGTGTCGATTTCTCTCTCACGAACATTATAGTCCCATGCGCCAGCAGGACCACGTGTCAACTGATTCCATTCCCAAGACCCTATTTCCACATGCGGTCCCACCCGCTGGGCCTACCGGTAGCATGTGGGCATCCCTTCGGTGGGGGACACAGTTCAGGGCAGAACAATGGGGCCAGGCTGCACGTCGCTGAGATAGTCGCTCTCTGTGTCTAAAACAAGGAGGAGGAAGTGTGACAAGATGCCTGGAGCAGCTCCGAGGCTCCGGGAGACTCGGCCCCTCGCCGACGGCCAGCACGGCACACCTCTCAACGGCCGGCAGCGGCCAGCAGGGCAGCTCTGAGCGCTGGTCTCCTTCCTCCTAGGAAACTCCCAGTACAGCCAGCAGCAGGCCGGCTACCAGCAGGGTGCAGCCCAGCCACAGGCCTACTCCCAGCAGCAGTACCCCAACCAGCAGAGCTACCCCGGGCAGCAGCAGGGCTACGGTAGGGCCCACCCTCGGCCTTGCGGCCTGCGCCATCGCTGGAGGGAGGGCACGGTCTTTATCTCTGTCGTTGTGAACTGGGTGCAAGTAGTCACAGCGACTCACTTTCCTGTCCAGGAGTTGATACACGTTAGCTTCCTTCCTTTCGTCACCGGGGTCCCCGCGGCACAGCCCTCTTCCCCACCCACCCAGCCCCCTCCAGGGCTTCCCGTCTCCTGTTGCAGGCAGTTCTCCAGCCCTTCTGCCTCCTGGGCTGGGCAGGGAGGTACCCTTGGCCTCAGCCACAGCACATCTGGAAAACTCAGGCCCTCCCGGGCAGGAGGAGACTCGGAGCTCAGCTCCTGCCATTGGGGCGGGGTGGGGGCGGGGGACACAGGCAGGGCTCTCAGTCGGTTCACACTCTTGGGGCTGGTGCCGCACGCTGAGGGAGGACCGCACGCTGAGGGAGGCCCGCACGCTGAGGGAGGACCGCTCGATGAGGGAGGACCACCTTAGCCCTTTCCCAGCCTTCCACTCAGAGTCCGTGCAGGCTCTCCGCACCTCAACGTTCACAGGACTGCCTCCAGTTCATGTGACTTCAATTAAGGGGCCTGGGTAGAAGCCGCCAGGCTGCAGACACGGGTCCCGGACAGTCGGGTGTGGCGTAGTCAGTACAGAGGTGCGGGAGTGCAGGAAGGCTTCACAGGACAGGGTGGGATTGGGGGGTGGGTAGTGGCTGGTGGAGCTCCTTGGATTGCATGCCCAGGAAGAGCGAGTGGTCTTTGAAGCCAGCAAGCCCTGCACGGTGGGTCACAGGGTCTTCGTGTGTTCCTGCAGGGCCTGCCCAGGGTGCCCCTGCGCAGTATTCCAGCTATCAGCAAGGACAGGGACAACAGTATGGGACCTATCGGTCATCGCAGACAGGACCCTCCGCACAGCAGCAGAGGCCGTATGGTTACGAGCAGGCAAGGTTCCTGGGTGCTCTCTGCTCTGGGGATGCAGTGGTGGTTTCTTGTGGCTGTGAGGCGCGATGAGCTGGGGCGAGGGGTCTGGGATCTCCGCTCTTCCAGAATGCTCACCCCACACTAGAGGGGCTGCACCTCCCATCTGCAGGTGCGGTTCCCCATTCTACCCGCGGGCTCTCCCTGAAACAAGCCACTGTTGGGGCAGGCTCAGCCACTGAGCCGGAGCCCGAGAGCGTCCCTTCCCCCTCTCCCTTGTCATTGGGGCCCAGAAAACCACTGCACCAGCAGGAGGGGAAATCGTCCAGGGCCGCAAGGGTGTCCTGTCATCCCGCTGAGGGGCCAGCAGGCTGGGGCAGGGCAGCTAGTGTCTCCACCCTCCCTGTGTGCGGGAAGAGGGGGCGCGGGCTGCTACACGCGCTCTTTGAAAAGTCAGTCATGCGTCCTCATCTCTTCCAGGGCCAGTATGGGAACTACCAGCAGTGAGGGGCACCAGCTGTCGGGCACCCGCCCTCACAACGTGTGTCCGTCTGGGCATGGATGGGCCTGCAGAACTTCTGAGAGCCGTGTACTCGGACCCCCCTCCGCCCGAGCAGCGTCTCCATGAGAAGCTTCGCCTGTCGTGCTGGGTGTGGTGCCTGCTGTGCTCGCTGGCACAGGTGGTGCCCCACTGGTGTGACACCCTTGGTGCTGTGACAGTGTTTGTCGCTGCGGTGTGGAGGCTGCCCTTGTCCAAGCCCCTCATCCACATTCCCAGCTAGCTGTAGGGGTCACTGGTCATCAGAGCACTCTGCCGGCCATGGAGACGGAGACGCTGCGTCCTGTGGCACACGGCGCCTCGGGTCTGCCTCCGAGCTCGTGCTCCCCCGACGAGGGCTGTGGACGTCTCTCACTGGCCAGCGGAGGCCGCCTCTCTGGTCATCGCGGTGTGTTTGTGTTGGGCAGTTGCAATCACACCACGTCAGAGAGGCTGTGAACAGTGGTTTGAGGAGCTCACCTGTTACCTGGGTCTCACAGGGACGCGATTTCCCAGACAGTGTATGTGTTTGATTAAAAAGCTCGGGAGCGGTAACTACGTTCCAGTAAGTGGGCAGCCACAAAGCCCTCGGGCGGTTAGCAGGCCAGCCCCCAAGGGACCCAGAGTCAGAAACCACTCCCACTGGGGATGGAGTATTTACTACAACCCACTTCTAAATTTAGAGAGAAACTTAAAATTTCCCAAATCGTTGGCGAGTTGTTTATATGATTTTTCCAGGACCCATGTGTTCAGATCAGCAAACAAACTTTCTTTTCGGGTGTCTGAAATGTCCGTCGCCCTACCCTGTTCCTCAGGAGGGCCTCTGTGTAGAGCATTCGGGCCGGTTGTACGTCCCTGGGCCCACCTGCCCCTCCCAACGCTGCAGGCGTTCAGGACGGCTCACTGGGTAGGTGGGGGCCGGGGCGCCTTCGCTGGCATGCCCACTAGCGTGGAGAGCACCTGTGTGCCGGGCTCTGCTGAGATGATCATCGCCATGCTGCCCAGGAGTCCTTTACGAGCCCAATGCTTCAGGGAAGTCTCGCGTCCCAAAGTTGCCAAGGGAATGCAAAATCCACCTGACTCCGGGCCCGTCGGCCTCTGGAGAGTGAGCTTTTTTTCTCTTTCATGGATCAGCTTCACCTTTTACCATTAAAGGGCAGCCCTTGTCCAGAGTGAGGTCCTTCTGTACATCTGTTTCTTTGCTTGCATTCTCCCTGAAGGTTGACACTGGGGTGTGAAAATAGTTACGGTCCCTGCACAGACCCACCCCAGCCCCCGCACAGTGCCGAAGTCCTGGTCTAGGACATGTGCCCTCATTCAAGGGATGTGGTTTTTGGTAGGCACTTGAGTATAAAACCCTGAACACTGGTAAAGGCTTGAACTGCACATGCCCACACCAAACGGCTGAGGGGTTTGGAAATGCTACATGAGGAAGATGCCAACGGGCTTATCTCGGGGATCATCTCCCTCGGCTTGTTCTTTTCCAGAGAATTTTCATGTAACCAATTTGCAAACTCAACCTGGAACTCAGATTTTCCACTTAAAACGTTAAATAATTTAGAGAACTGTGAAAATAGCATTTATTTTTATTCCTTGCTAATCTGGGAATATATCTTTTGTGTGGTTTTTTGTTTGTTTTTAAGTGCTGTAATACTTTTTGGAGGAGGGAAAAAAAGAACACGTAAAAAATTTATCCCAAAACTTCCATGTGAAATATCTTACATTAAGAATTCCTTGAATGTTGTGTATATATTTAAGAAAAAGCACTTTGCAAAATAGTTTGTACATTTATTTCCTAACTTATACATGATTTTGGTGTTAATATATTTGACTAATAGCAGAACGATTATTTAATGTGTTGTCTGTTTTTATGTACTGTTGTACCGTGTGGGGACAAAGTGAGGTCAGCAGTCTTTTCATTAATTGCAATGATAACTTCTGTAATTCGAATGTTTGAAAAAGGCTTCGGCCAAATGATTCGTTCGTGCAGTGTGGTTGGCTGTGCTTGTTTGTTTGTTTTTATGACTACTGTGGAAGACCAGGGAAGGTGGGGAAGAAAAGCCCTTTCTCCCTCCACTCCGACACCCACCGCGTAGTGAACTTGAGAAATCTCGACCATTTTTCCAGAAGTGCTGACAAGTTCCCGTTGGTTGAAAAGCTCCCGCGCCACTGTCTGTTGCTGAACTTGGCGCGTGCGCGCGCCACCAGCAGTGTTGCTGTGAAGCCGACTCCTAGGCCCCTGGGGAGCCTTGCCGCGATCTCGCCGTTGGAGGAGGCGTCGGCACATGCGTGTAGGCTTGAGTTGGGGCGTCCATTCAAAGCTGTCAGAAGGGGAAGGCGGCTTCTTGTCCGCCCTACATTTTTTAGTCATGATTTCATGTCTATTTATTGAACAAGTCAAACTCGTCTTGTTGTTTGTGACTATGGTACTTTTTAAAGCCGCCCCTCCCCCGTCAGTTTGGTGTAGAAACGGTTTGCTTTGGTGTACTGGTTAATAAACTGGTTCTGCACAAGCCGTCCCGTGAGTTTCTGTGCGGGCGAGGGGCTTGGTGACCGGCCAGCAGCGGCCGGACGCACTGCCGCCCAGCCGACGCCGGCTCGCCGCTGCCCTTGACG